CATCATCTCTGACACATGGGAGGCCATTGCTACAGTCACTGTTTCAATCCATCTGGTCAAGGATCATCCACTCTTTCGCTGACCTTCCACCTTCCAAAGCATGAAATCCACCCCTTCCCATGGAATGGCTTCTCCTAGCAACATACCCAAGGCATAGGAGATGGAGCTACACAATCCTGTCTTCCAAGAAACATTCTAACTGCACTTTTCCCAAGTGCAAGACTGTCTTTTGACAGTCCAGAAGATACTCTTCTCCAGCACCACAACTCAAAGGCATGAATTCTTCTTCTTCTGTCATCTTTACTCACTGTCAGCTCTCAGGTTCATAGCAAGCTACTGAAAAGACTACTGATTCAAGTGCACCTTAGTCTTCAGACTGACATCATTGTTCTTAAGTATTTTGGAGAGGTCCCTGAGAGTGGATTTTACCAATGCAATACATCTCCTGAGAGGACTTACTAAATTGAAAAGTCCATTGTTATTATTGGGGAGAAAAGTTTTGCTCCTATGTAATCAATTATCTCTACTCATAAAACCTTTCTCTGGAAGCTTTTTACTCCAAAATGACAAAAATTCTTATGGAAATGTTTTTAAAAGATGACATTTATAAAGGTTGGTTATTTTGAGAAGCCACATGGCTAGTACAGGAAATGACTGGCGAGTTTGTGAAAGGGTCACTGAAGTTCTGGTGGCCTAGTGGCAATAAGTGACATTGCAATCCCGAAGACACGAAGTTCAAGGCCACCAGCTGCTCTACGGGAGAAAAATGGGCAATCTCCTCCCCTGCGATTAACTGCCTCTGAAAACCCACCAGAGGATCAGCTATGGGCCCGTTCTGACTCTACAGTACACAACAGCAACAACAACATTTAAGTTAGAATTGACAAACAGAACAAGTGATATAAACTGGCATTGGTTTTGTTTTTTGGGGTTTTTTTTATGATCTGAAATTTTATGACCTGAAAATGTTAGGACCTGACAATGTTAGGACCTGGCATTGTTTTTTTTTTAATACAGAACTTTCATCCTAAAAGGGAATATTGTTGTTTGCTGTTGAATTGGAACCAGCCCATAGCTGACTCTCCAGTGGGTTTTCAGAGGCAGTAAATTGCACGGGAGGAGATGGTTGTCCAGAACTTTTTCTGATTATTTTTGTGATTTTTCTTTTTCTTTGGTGGCCTGGTGGGTAAGGAGTTTCACTACCAATCCAAGGGCAGGTGGTTTGAGTCCCCCAAATTCCCCATAGGAGAAACATGTCCACCCTCCTACCATGCCATTTAAAACCTCCGAAAACCCCTTAGAGGGTCAGCCATGAGTCCGTTCCAATTTGGCAGCAATAAGGTGCTTTTTTGGTCTGTTTTATTATTCCATTATTGTCCTGAGTTTTCTTTTTAAAAAGTCTATTCTGATTTGTTTTCCTCTGTGAGGCAATCAATTCATTTTGCCATCTTGTCTTGAGCTAGATATTTATTCATTAACAAACGTTTTTAGCCTCAATTATATACACAGCACAAAGTTCATGTGGCAGTTAGAAACAGGAAATAACGTGAAAGACAAATGGAAAAGCGAAACTTAGGAATGAAGTAAGAAAAATTAGAACAAAAAAGGTAGGGAAGGTAGAAAAAGTGGTGTTACATTGTGAGGATTTCAATCATTGTCATGAGGCAAAATATGAAGGATCTGATGAATAAAAATCCGACTTGTTCTGTGAACTTTCACTCAAATAATAACCTTTAAAATATTATGCACAAAGTGTAATGATTTAAAATATTGTATAAGTAGATCTAAGAGAATAGAGTGAGTTCTGGTGACTTCTTGATGTTTTTGCTGTGGTTATGTGCCATTGAGTCAACTACAACTCATAGTGACCCTATGAACAATAGAACAATAGAACCCTGTCCTGTCCTTGAGCCAATCTTACCATCTCTGACACACCTGCCCCCTTTGCCATGGTCCCTGTGTCAATCCATTTCATCTAGGGTCTTCTTCTCCTGCGCTGAACCTCTACCCTTCCAAGTATGATGTCCTTCTCCAAGGACTGAACCCTCCTGACAACATGCCCAAAGTTTGTCAGACAGGGTTTCAAAATCCTTGCCTCCAAGGAGCAATCCGATTTCACCCTGTCTGGTACTGACCTGTTTGTTCTCTTGGCAGATCATAAAAATTCAATACTTTTCTCTACCACGACAACTCAAAGGCATTGATTTTTCCTCCCTCATCCCTAGTCATTTTCCAGCTCTTAGATGCATAGCAGGTAATTGAGAAGACCATGGCTTGGTGGCTAAGTAGTAAGAAATTTCACTCGCAACCCAAAGGTACACAGTTTTAATCCACCAGCTGCTGCATGGAAGAAAGATCATCATTTTTCTCCAATGTGATTTATTGCCTCTGAAAACCTGCTTGAGGGTCATTTCTTTTAAGTTAGTTCTGACTTAAAAGTTAGTTCTGACTTAAAAGCACTCAACAACAACAAGAAAATAGAGGAAAAGAAGCTTATAAACACATTGTTCTTATTGTTGTTATGTGCCATCGAGTCTCTTGCG